TTCCGCGCTATGACAGAGAATGACACAATCCCCCGAGGACTCACGACCAGGTCACTGGGTCTGGGAACGCAGCGGCCGCGAGACAGACCGCCCACCTTTCTCCTCTCTTTGTCTATTGTTTTCTCTCTATTGCTCTCCCTCTCTCTCTCTTGCTCTCTCTCTCTTGCTCTCTCTCTCTTGCTTTCTCTTTCTCTCTCTCTGTCTCTCTCTGTCTCTCTCTGTCTCTCTCTCTCTCTCTCTCTCTCTCTCTCCGTGTCTGTCTGTCAGTCTCTCTCACTCTCCCCCCACCGCCTTCCTCTCTTCTGAGATTTACTACAAATGACACACACACAGACACCCACCTACATCCACACCCATCCACCTACACCCCCCCCCCCACACACACACACACACACACACACACACACACACACACACACACACACACACACCCACCTTACCTCTCCCCCCTCCCACACACACATACGTGCACGCACACATCTTATGCCTTATCAATACACTGATATTGACACATGCACACAAATGCAGACCCACTGACGCACAGACCCGCTCCGACCACGTACACACGAACACGCGCACACCAACCTAATCACACACATACATAAATACACGCTTGTCAGCATGCATTCCCGTCTCAGCTTTTACCCTGATCTATTTGCACCCCTGTAGCATTTGGGATTCCCCTGAATAATGAAAAAAATCAACAATATTTGTTACATATTGTGCGAGTTCAAATCTTTCGTTGGGAAACAAAAAACGGCAGAATTTGTCCTCTGTGTTTGCTCATAAAGCACCTTCTATTAGAGAAGCAATAGATAAACCAATCACATTAACGCTCGCCTTCAGCGTGCTTTCTGTCGCTCTTGATTAATGACAATTGGCTCTCTGACAAAGAAAAAAAAAATTAAACAGATACATGTAAATATATTAATAAAAAAAAAAAACGAAACAAAAAGTAATAGCTGCACGGAGCCATAAAAAAACTCATTAAATAAAGATAGATAGATTGATAATTGTATAAATGAAGAAATAGAGAATAAAGAAAACAATAAAGACGAAAAAGAACCCCCCAAAAAATCATTAAGAACAATTCATCCTTGTTCTTTAGAGCTCGTTTTGACACTACAAAAAAATAAAAATTAAAGAAGGTAAGCCAGTCCCTGTTGTTGCTTATCGCTTATCGTGGCGTCGGTGGCCTAGTGGTTAGGCTCTCGGACTCGCAACCGTAAGGTCGTGGGTTCGAATCCCGTCAAGG